CTACTGAATTCTAGTCTTTCCCTTACCTTAAGCCAAGGTACAGCCACTGTTGCCTAACTGCTTGTTCCTTGTCCTCTGTGAGACCTGAAGAACTTTTCTTGCTTATCTATGGCTTGTTTTGTTTTATTTGAGACAGGGTCTCACCATGTAGCCTTGGCTGGCCTGAAGCTCGCTATGTAGACAAAGCTGGCCTCAAACTCACAGAGATCTTCCTGCCAAGTGCTAGGATTAAAAGCATGGACCACTACCCTGGCATCTTATTCATAGCTTTTGATGCAGATATAATAAAATACCTAACAGTGTGCTCTCATAAGAACTCTGTTCTCAAACAGCCCAGAGTTATGATAAAACCCCCAAAATAATGTAATTGAAGATAAATGCATGCCAATTAATTACTATGAAAAGGACCTAAAGGCTCAATTTATATCCTAGTGATATCTGACTTGAAATTTCAAAAAAATATTCACAACTTCTGAGGATGTAAATATAAATGTTATGATAAAAAATTCCCTAAGGACTTCAGTTGGCTTTTATGTCACAGTATGATAACCAATAGCATATGATAACATACAAACATATTCGATATTTTATATTTGTTTGAATAAAAATTAAGACTTGAAGCTGAAGACAGTCTGAAGAACAGTTCTGTGCTCATTTGAACATTCACTCTCTTGGCTGAAGCTTAAGCCTTATTTTGCATAAGTAAATTTGAGGAGAGATAAAAGTTCAGGTTGCAATTTTTAATAAACTGTAACTTCAAAGAGAAGATATTTTATCTTCTCAATATTATGACTGAGCAGATAAAACTGAAGACTAAATCTGTACAAGGGAGGCAATTGGGAACCCAATTTGAAGCTAATCAGGAAAGGCAAATCGGTGGTTACTGGTGGTCAGTAAAGCAGCAAATTACCTTCTTCTGTCTCATGAGCTTCATCCCTTGACATTTTAAACTTTTAGAACGGTAACTGTAATTTTAAATTTCAAAAAGAAAACTGCCAGAATTTAACTTTTCTGAGGAAATAAAACTGATCATAAAAAGATTCCATGCTATGAATATTATACAGCTTGTATGACAATATTAAAAATATACGTTTTCTCTAAACATCTGAAAGAGCCTCCAGCTACTACGAAGCCAGGCCAGGAAGGAAGCAGTATTTGGACAAGATGCTGCTGAAATATGGAGGGGAAGGAAACATCCTTGTATTAGGCTCCAAATCCCTCCCTCCCTTCTTAACAACCCTCCTGACACACTCATGGGATTGTTTTTAGGCTTTCCTTACATGTGTGAAGGAAAGGGGCATGAGAAGGGGCGATCCTTACCCTTAGAGGAGCACACCCAAGGTTAAATGAAGTAGAACACTGGATCTGATACACATATATTTGGTTTAAGGCTAACCTTCTGTTGGCCACATTTGTGAGCCAAAAAAATGATCTTCCATTGCAAAAAGAAAATTAAATCACAGTAAAATGACACAGACCTAAGAGTTGTCCCTTGCTAGAGAGTTTCCAACACAGGATTGGAAATACTGATAGTTGGAGATTTTAAGAAGTTGAGAAGATTGAAAAAAATCCACATGAAAATTACAAGCGAGTATTGGTGTGGATAACTTTCCTACTCCTTTAAAATTTGAATAAAATGTCCTGTCCATCTTGGACTATAAAAACAGGACAACACACTGAAACAAAGGTGGAGAACTAGTGCAAACAAGGGCGGTTACAATAGGAAAATCATGCACTTGTACATGCAATTTTAAAGGATTCCCTAAGACCATGGAAAAGACAATTCCCACAACACAACAATATGAACACCTATGACTTTCTGAGATGATTCTCTTGATAATTTTATTTCTAAGTCCATAAACCTAAGGAAAAGGAGAACACATCTGAAAATCATCTGCCTCAGGACACTGTTTAATATTCATGAGGCATTTTATAGAAATGTGTGCTTTTCCTGAGGGCAGAACCAAGTCTGTAACATTTTCAATAAAGCAGAAATACTAAAGAAAGCACTTCGGATCTCAGAGTTTAGAGGTTCACCGAAAACACGGTTGCCTCCGCTGCATTTACTTGGTCACAAGAAGGTGACCTAGAGTGCACTGGACAGCTCAAGATCGCAGATAAACGGTGGTGGTTAGGAAATGCGTGTTTAGGGTAAGGGCAGACAGGCCTCTGTGATGTAACTTCTGGATACAAGTGAGGAGGATGACATGTTAACTCTCCTTCCTCCAACGTGTGTAGAAAACTTTCTGAAAGGCAAGTGCTGACACAACCATAGTTATTTTAAATGAGAATGATAAAAATTACAACATGAGACACAGAAATCCAGCGTACACAAAGCACGTGCTGTCCACTTCAGTGATCGACAAACGCTTCTATACACATCCCCCACCAACTAACAAGTGGTTGTGGAAGACTCCACATAGGTTCAGCTCCAATAGGTGATTAAAGCAGCAACAGAGCTGTCAGGCCAAGGCTCACACACCAGTCACTAGTGAGACTAAATGAAGTGCATGCGCTATTGTATAAATGACCTCAAACAGTTTGTGGATTCGTTAATTAACAGTCAAGTTAGGAGGATTAGTTCTGTAAGCTTTGTCTGATCAGAATATAAAGGTTACGTTTCTACTGTTTCTCCAGGGCCTCGCATCCTGGCTGACACGATAGGCCCCCAGACATAGAACTGATGAGATGAGACTGGCTCCACGTGAGCTGCAGTAAAGCAAAGAGGAGCACAAAAGGGTAATAAGGCCTTACAATGGGTAAAGACAATGCTTCAGGGTATTCTAACAGATACCAGAAACCACACTTGCTAAAGCACTGTGTGAGTGTACCGGAGCATTTTTTGTGAGATACATTTCCAGAAAGCATACTGAAAGGGTGGTTTTAAAGCACGAATCACCACTTCCTTCCTATGAATATCGTTGAATTTTAAAAGAGACTTGTGGCTGGAGAGATGGTTCGGTGGTTAAGAGTGCTTGTGGCTCTTCCAGAGGCCCTGGGTTAGGTCCCAAGCACCCACAGAGTAACAACATTCCTTACAACAACTTCACATATACTTAGTTTGGGTTGATCCACATCTTTCTGACTCCTGACCCCAAATATTATTTTTAAAGGAAAGCAAAACAACAGGAAAGGGGGTGTTTTTCTTACCCGTTGACAGTGGTATTTCTGGTGGATATAATTCTGCATTAAATATTGAGTGAGTCAAAGCAGTGTTCAAATGAAACATCTGTAAAGAAGAAAATACAGATATCTTCATTTTTCTTCTTTTATTAATACACAAAGCCAGAAAACCAATTACAAGAATGAAAATAAAAATAAAAACAAAAACCTAAAAATAGGATTCCTGAAATCATGATTTTAACGTGCCTTTCTGGGACCGTCTTAGGCCACTGAGTGTGTAACTTATATAACAAAGGAATTCGAAGAAAATAACAGCTATGAGGTCTCCAAAGACAAGGGCCTGGAGGATCCTGCAAGCTGTGCATCTTCAGAGCCAAGAGAGCTTCAGGCATGCTGGGCCCTTCAGAAATATTTGTAGAATAATTTGAGTGATCTGAATCTTGCACCCTCTTAGGAATATGAGTTTATTACAACCCAGAGGGTAGGGAGATGGCCCAGTTGATAAGGTGTTTGCTGCACAGCACAAGAACCTGAGGCAAGAGCCCCAGTATCTAAGTGAAAAGTTGGGTTGGCAGCATCTGTCTGCAGTACCTGCTCTAGGAAGGTGGAGACAAGAAGATCAGGTTTGCTGGCTGAGTGTCTAGCTGAATCCATGAATGCTAGGTTAAGTAAGAGACCTTTTCTCAAAATCTATGATGGGGAGTGACTTTCAGTCTCCACACACACGTGAATGAACACTCACAGACAGACAAGCACATACACGCATGTAATCTTAGCTGTGCTTCCGTTTTGATGATAAATTGATTCCTTATTGAGCTACAGAATTTCAAATCCTGAAAGAATTGCAGGCAGTAGCTATACAACTTACAAAATGACTGGCAATACAACTGAGGCCATGATAGAGCACAGAGCTCACTACAATATAAATACCTGAACTTAGTAGATGATGGCACACTGAACAATGGCTCCAAAGACGTTACACGCTACTCCCCAGAACCTATCTGCACCCTAGATCTTGTCTACGCCCTAGAACTTATCTATTCCACAGAACCTATCTACTCCCCAGAACCTACGCTTTCTGTGGCAAAAGATATATTGCATGTGCCATTGAAGTAGGACTATTAAATGATAGGATTATCCTGGAATATCTGAGTGTGCTACTTAGGAGAGTGAGAAACCAAAGTGCAGTGTGCCCATAGAGGCAAGAGTCTGGGGTGCTAGCAGGATTCACCCAGGGCTACAGAGGCAAGAGTCTGGGGTGCTAGCAGGATTCACCTAGGGCTAGAAGCAGCCCCCAGAAGCTCAGAAGACAAGAAATAAATGCTGCTAGGAATGTAGCCCTGTTGGTGCCTTGACTCTGACATCTTTATTCTACCCTACAGAAGATATTTGTGTTGTTTCAAGTCCTAAGATTATGGTAACAGGAACAACACACAACGAAGAAAACTGAAAGAGTGAACGTATAACATTTTGATAGACTTAAGCTCTCTACCTTGGTAAGTTACTACTAATAATGACTCCAAAAGGAGATTTCCCAGTTAGCTCATTTAGAGGTTCACATTTGTACTGACGAGCTTACTATTCGTCTTACTCTCCAGAAGTCACTTGTTGAAATATCTTGTGGACAACATAGAAACCAAATTATTTATTTCTCTGGTCAGCTTGCAAGCTGAAAGTGAGTATTTTTTTGTCCTTATTTAGTAAGTCACTTGATATTTTTGAGTACCTCGAATCCTACTATGTCTAGTTAAATCAAGAATAAGAAGAGTAGTTTACAACATTTGTTTATTACATATGTGTGAGTGTACAGTGTGAGTGTGTATGCATGTGTAGAGTGTGTGTGTGTGTGTGTGTGTAGCATGAGTGTGCTTATGTGTGTGTAGTGGAGGATGTCAAACTCAAGCTTAGTAAGCACTTTACTCTCTGAAAAATCTCACTAGCCGCTATAATGTGATGTTTAAATGCGAGTCACTTCAAATCCACTTTTGAGGGACACAAATTTTCAGTTGAGGCGCAAAGAGTGTGCTATATTTCAATCCTTAAAAGCAAAGCTCGCATGCTTGCCAGTTACTATTTACCACGAAAGAAACACTGAACGGCAAACTATGTCTTACAACAATAAGCTCCAGGCCACCATCTCTGAGCAAAGAGAATGACCTCAAAAAAAAAAAAAAAAAAAAAAAACCCTCTGCTGTGGTCCTGCTCTACGTGCAGTGAATGGGTTGAGGGAGAAGTCCCACTAAGACAGACACCCTGTTGCACGCAGCATGCGGTATTTGCTTGGTGAGGGGTGGAGAATGAACTCCGGTGTGGCTAAAACATGGAGGACGCTTCCCTGAAAAAAGGCAAACTTTAGGAAAGATAAAGCTCAAGACAGGAAAAAAGAAAAAAACCAAAAAACTTAAAAAGCCTTCAAGGGCCTCCCCTCCCCCCACAATTGAAATATCAGAATATGCCCACCCCGCTGTTCAGCTCAGAACTGCCCACATAAGATACTTTCAAAATGACTGTCCTAGGCAGGTCTTACTCTTTTGTGGCATAAAAGACCATCTCTGGTTGATAAGATTTCCTGTGTATAGACAGGAAAGCATGGTTTGAAACCAAGCAGAAACAGCCCTCATGGTGGTGAGAGTTCGCTTTTGTTGAAAGAAGCCCATTAAAAGTGAAAGGTTAAACAAAGGGGTTTGGTCTCTGAGTTGCCAGGTGTCTTTTATGCTGCAATAAAAGAAAACGTTCTTAGTTTTACCCAGTATCACTAGCTTTACAGGAGGATCAGCAGCGGATGGTGACCTGAGACTCGGTGCACGCTCACTCCACCCGGCTGGGTGAGACGCTGGCCACTGTGGCTCTCACTACAGCTCCAGGGCTGTATGACTACAGAGACACCAGGTCTCCCCCAAATATTTCATTTTCAGTTTTATTTTTGGCTGACTCTTTGCAAGCATGAATTTGAGAAATGGTAGTCTTGGATGTTTACCACCAAAATTGAAATGTGAAGTACTGATGAATGTTGTGCCAGGGATACCTTGGCAAGTAGTGTGTCCCTGTGCTGGTTTTAGCTTTCAAACCAGCTTAGACCTCCTTTAGAAAGTCATCCTTAACTTGTTCTTTCCCCAAAGGAACGGGACGCAATTCCTCCCATTGCCTCTGTCCCTCAGTGAACCATGGCAACACACACAGACTACGGAAAGTGTGGTTCCATTCCTCCAATTGGGATGCAGTCCTGACCTTAGTAGGCAGATCTCCTGTCCCTTCATCTCTAAGATGTTCTGAGCATAATTAAGTCTTAACAGATAGCTAAGGAGCAAACAGATACCAGTATTTTTAAATAATTTAACAGATCATTACAGTCCACTTATAAAATTACCACTGTAGCCGGGCAGTGGTGGCACATGCCTTTAATCCCAGCACTTGAGAGGCAGAGGCAGGCGGATTTCTGAGTTCGCGGCCAGCCTGGTCTACAGAGTGAGTTCCAGGACAGCCAGGGCTACACAGAGAAACCCTGTCTCAAAAACCCCCAAAACAAACAAACAAACAAACAAACAAAACAAAAAACCTGCCACTGTAATCACCCTAGCATCTAGAAACTGCTTTCAAGAATCAGTTCTATGCTTCATACATTCTTCCATATGAGGAGAAGAGGAAGAAATGGAAGTACCAATCATCTACATGGATTCATATGGATTCATCAGACTGTCTAACACTTCTGTGGGTTTAGAACTTTTTAAGAGAAAAAGCTAGAAGGAAAGAGAAGACAGTTATCCTTGTGTCAGCCTGTGTCACGCCTGCTGACACGTCTATGATGACAGCGACGATGACATGATGCTAAACACTGCTCCACTCTCAAAGCACACTCATTCCTACTGGCTGCAGTAGACTTAACCACAGTACCTTTGACTGCAGTGGACTTAACCACAGTACCTTTGACTGCAGTGGACTTAACCACAGTACCTTTGACTGCAGTGGATTTAACCACTGTACCTTTGACTGCAGTGGACTTAACCACAGTACCTTTGACTGCAGTGGACTTAACCACAGTACCTTTGACTGCAGTGGGCTTAACCACAGTACCTTTGACTGCAGTGGACTTAACCACAGTACCTTTGACTGCAGTGG